GCACAGCAAACAAGCAGGATTCACACACACACACACACACATCCGCCTGACATTCGGCTAGCATGTGGCTTGCATGCTTTGTGTCGTGTGGAGTATGAGGGCATAGTCCATGCGAGTTTCTGTTTGGACACATTTGATGACAGTCAGCATTGCACTCATGTACGACACCCCGACATGTCATGTCCAATTTATAGACGGGCTGGAACGGCAAAATGCCTATACAATTGTGGTCAGCATGCCTCTGTGTTCCTAGCATGGAGAAGCCACGTCGCCCGTGACCTATATGTCTACACCATGCCATTCGATGCAGCAACTTTAACTGCGAGAATTGGATGCAGTGTGCGGTCCTGTCCGGTCCGGTCTGTAGGGGTGGCCACTTACAATAGGCAATGTTCGCTCCTCGACTCTAAATCTCCCGCAACCCATACACTGACTACCGCCTTCACCCGAATAGAACGCCMGGTCATTATCGTTGCATCTAGACAGAAAACTGCCCCAGATACGGCTGTAATGACCGGGCGTTCTATTCGGGTGAAGACGGTAGCCTCCTGCACCGTTGTAGAGTATTCCGCTCCAGCGGTGAGTATTCAGCACCCTGTGAAGTTTGCCTTCCCTCACTTCTGTCCTTTGCCCCCCTCCACTTCCCTCCTCTGCCCCTTCTTCCTCCCCCACCCCTCGCCTCCTGTAAAACGCCTCCCTCCCTTTCAATTCTTCCCCTTCATTTCTCCCTCCCCCTTGTGTACTACTAGTAAATATATCGTCAAACAGAGCTGCCCGGTAAACCGTAGAAATATATACGAATGAGCATCACTAAGAGAACAGACAAAATATAAGCTGAAGACCTGAAGCAAAATGAAAAGTAGTATACCTCCCCCCCTTTACTCTGCCTTCTTTCATAGCTCGCAAGTGTGCCGTTCAGGTACATGGGGGTGTGCGCAGCTGGCGCTCAACCATCCTCAACGTGGCCAGCCTTCGACGTGAGAGGCATAGTAAGACGAGGGCTGCAAGAACAAATAAAACGGGAGGCCTCCCAAAGACAGCTGAGGTAAACCCCTAAATCACGAAAACGATAAAATGGATGTATTGCGCTTCATATTGCTAACTGATTCATTGTTGGGTTGGCTCATCTCAAGTGTGTCGCATTGCTTGTATAAAGGTAAGACTCCTATATTTTGGATATTAGATCTTGTGCTTCATGCTGTCGACCATAAAGGCAAAACTGTTTCATTGGGTGGATTGGCTCATCTTAACCATGCTTCATCGTCTGCAATAGAGGTGAAGTTGCTGTGATTTTGGATCAGATTCTACTCATCTGGGTGGAACAGGGGTTGTTGTGGTGAAAATTCATATACCCCACCCAACCCACCCCACCCCCAACAACACACACACACACACATACACACAGACAGAGAGAACAGAGTACACACGGAAAGAAAAGGTCACTTACAGAAAGGGAAGGGCGACTACCGTCTTCCCCCGAATGGAACGCACGGTCATTATGGCTGCACCTAAACTGAAGCCCCCCCAAATATAGCTGTAATGACTGTACGTTCTATTCGAAGGAAGATGGTAGACAAGGGTAAGCAAATCAGCACACCTTGTAAGAGGTGATTCGTGCATCATCCAACAGTATTCGTGCTTCACAGCCATCTGCCAATCGCAATTGGATAATTCTCACATCTGCAGCTTTGACGAACTGCACTCCTTTGAGCTCGAACCTCTCCTTGAGATCGCTCATCGACTGCGGCTGCAGTTTTCCTTCACCGCAGGTCCAGCCACCATCGGCTTCGGGCGTGGAGTCGATGGAAGGTAAATCCACCAAGTTCGAGGCGGCGTCATTTGACGTGGAAGTGGATGTGGACGTGGACGTTTGATCTTCTTCCAGGAAGGCAACGCTATTCTGCATTCCGTCGACGGTTGAAGAGTTCGCTGACCAGTGACCACAGCATGGATAACAAACACAATTCAGCCCACTAAGTTCCTATAAGCCGAAAAAAGGCCCGTACGTAAAAGAATTAAACTTTCTTCTTTTTTTTTTCTTTTTTTTTTGGACCATTTCTCGATTTATGTGTGTCATCCTTGTGCAGGGGCCATGCTAATATTCTTTCTCTGTCTCGTTCCAATTTTAACGGATGTCCCGAAGGACGGGGTTAAACTTTCTCATCCTCGTCCATTTATGACTATTTTTAGTACTTTATGCCCCGCTAAGTTAAATTTCAGACCCCTTCATACTGTCAAATTGCAAACTTAACAACCCCCTCTTCAATCATCCACAGAAAAGTCAACCACTTAACAACCCCCTCTACGGTCATCCACAGAAGAGCCAGCCAGTCTCTGCATGCGCGCGCACACACACACACACACACACACACAGAGCGAGCTACTCTTTTTTGTGGTCGGATAATTTGTTGGTTGCTCTTTATTCATACATGCCCTAATTCTTTGCACTCATGTAGAGCATGGACTGTCTCTTAATGAAGGCATGTTTGTGGGTGGCCGTGATTTGTTTTGGGCGGGAATCTTTGTTTGGAGACATGGTCATGGTATCTTCGCGAGGAGGCTCAGAGAGTCTTTGCTGTGGGTGTCACTCCCGCGCACTGCCCTTCGGGGCACATGGAAGATGGTGGTGCTTCCATGGTGTTTTAAGCAGTGGTGCTCCTGGTGTCGCGTGGAGATTATGTGAATGTGTGCTTGGAGTTCTGGCCCCAGTATCTTGGTGAGGAGGCTCAGAGAGTGTTTGCTGTGGGTGCCTTTCCCATGGGCTTCTCTTTTGGAGCAGATGGAAGAAATGGGGACTTCCAAGGTGTTTTAAGCAGTAGCCCTCTTGGTGTCATGTGAAGATCTTGTGGTCTTTGGGATTATGGTACTCTTATGTACTCCAGAGGCTAGATAGCAAATGGGGGATGTCTAGCCATGGAGTGAAAGAGATGGTGGTGACGTGAGTGGGTCGTTTGCGATGAACAGCAGTGCCAGTGCTTTTGTGCTTGTAAGCCGACTCGGAGGGCTCTCCATTTTTTTTGGACTATTGGTGGTTCTGGTCGGTGCTTTCTTGCTGGTGGAGCATTCTGCGTTACGTATGTTGCGGTTTGCCCTTTACCCTTTTTATAGATTGAAAAAATTATACATACATATCTGTGCAAGTGTGTCACTTCGGCAGCGGACGGGTGTGCAGGCACTTCCCACTCAACCACACAAATGCCACAGTGGGGAACCTTGCACTTTCTCTTATATTGCCCGCCTATACTTTTTTTGGTTCTACGGAAAGTTTATGATGATATGTGGATGGAATGGGAGAGAGGATTCGGGCGGGTTTTTAAAACACACACACACACACACACACACACACACACACACACACACACACACACACACACACACACACACACTTTTGCAGCAGTTATGGCAAATGTTCCAGTCACACCTTTCGAAGAACACAAGGTCCAAGAGCAGAGGCCCGCTGTGAGATACAGGTAAACGCCATTGGTGGTACTTCGTGCAGAATGAAGTTTTGTCGCACGGACTCAAACCCAAAGAAAAAATAATAAAAAAGAAAAAGAAAAAGAAAAACTATCTCTGGATAGGCTTGACCAGATGCTAGAATCAGAACTGTCTAACCATGGTTCAAACTTCAAAATTCAAATGCATTGACTCATGATTGGAATGGATCAAGAAAAACATAAAAATGTGAACCGCGGTTCAAAGTTCAAAGTTCAAAGGGCAATGAGAGGAGCAGCCGGTACCGGGCCTCCTCCTCAGGTTCGGGAAGAGATCCTTCATTTCATTCCACATCCAATGGTGTGTGTGTGTGTGTGTGCGCGCGTGTGTGTGTTGGGAGGGGGGTCAAGTAAAACATTCATACAGGTGGGGAGTCAGGCTCTTAGCATGGGTAAGGAAATACAATCATCATCAAATCACTTATATTGTCTCTTAAACATTGCTATCTATGGAGGGTGGGGGAATGGGGGGTGTATGTCTGTGTGTGTGTGTGTTTGTGGGGGGGGGGGGGGGGGGGTGTGTGTGTGTGTGCGC